GTACTTTATAGAATAGTGTCGATAGAATAAGAAATAATATATTGTAACGTAGATGTTGTACTTTATAGAATAGTGTCGATAGAATAAGAAATAATATATTGTAACGTAGATGTTGTACTTTATAGAATAGTGTCGATAGAATAAGAAATAAGATATTGTAACGTAGATGTTGTACTTTATAGAATAGTGTCGATAGAATAATAAATAATATATTGCAACGTAGATGTTGTACTTTATAGAATAGTGTCGATAGAATAATAAATAATATATTGTAACGTAGATGTTGTACTTTATAGAATAATGTCGATAGAATAAGAAATAAGATATTGAAACATAGATGTTGTACTTTATAGAATAGCGTCGATAGGATAAGAAATAATATATTGTAACGTATATGTTGTACTTTATAGAATAATGTCGATAGAATAAGAAATAATATATTGTAACGTAGATGTTGTACTTTATAGAATAATGTCGATAGAATAAGAAATAATATATTGTAGCGTAGATGTTGTACTTTATAGAATAGTGTCGATAGAATAAGAAATAATATATTCTAAGGACGTTTTCAACAGGGAAAATTTTCGTCTTTTTTAAGTTGTAACAGTAGGTTATGCAGTGATTATTTACTCGTGACGAGTTCACTCAGATTAAATTCTCTTTTTTTAAAAAAAAGTTTATTTGAACATTTTACAAGCAAATTAGAAAAACTCTCTTAGCTTGGTCACTTCTTTCTTGCAATACAACGAACGCATGCTGCTAGTACCGAGTGCAGACTGTTACACAGGCAACATTTCAGGAAACGGAAACACGCTCATAACAGTAGATCGATTTGTTTAATTGAAACCCGGTGAAAAGTTGTTAAAAATACGAAATTTAAAACAGTGAGTATTCCTATATAGCACACACACACACACACAAATCCAAGACATGGTGTTTCTCAACCAAGTTCTAACTAAGAAATGCAAGCCAATGAAAATTTGAATGGTGTTACACACTACAAATTAACATGTTTGTGTTATTTTTTTGTTTTACTTTAATTTTTTGATCCACATTACTTTTACATTTTATTCAGAGATCTTCCCCACATATGTCTTTACTAAAGTTCTGTGGTCATTACGGTCCTGATAGCTTACACTACTAATGAAAATGTGACGAAAGCATGAATGATGCAATAAGTGATCCATGAAACTCGGAAAACACATGGGGTAAAGAAACTGTGTAAATTATAGTTAAAGAAACATAGAAGTTTTCGGAAGGTGCACCTTTTTTG